GCTGCAACTTCCAGAGGAGAGTATCCCAAGCTAAGCTGAGGAGCTCAAGAGCCTAAACCTCACTCCTCTTTGCTTCTTCTCTTCTTCTCTTCATTGCTTCTTGGCTTCTTCTGATGAAGAGAGTCACACCAGGTAGCAAATATCATAAAAGAGATTTATTGGGGTGGGGTCCAGGATGAGGAAGGACATGTCTGCTCCGAGGAGGGAGTGGATAGCCAGGAACTGGACAAAGGGCAGGGCTTATATAGGATTTCTAAGAAGGTGGAGTTTTTCAGGGCAGAAATTTTCAGGTTGAGAATTGGTGAGCATTCAAGTCCTGAGCTTGTGGGAGCTCAGGGATTGGTGAGTTTTCATGCTCAGAGATTAGTGGGTTTCTGTGGGAAGTTCAGAGATTGGTGGGTGTTCTTATTCAGGAATTGGTGGCTTCTGTACAAACTTTTCACCTAAAATTAGCATAATCTTGGGAGGGTTCTCCTTCAGGGGCTGGAGACAATCCTTGTGACAGTTACCAGGGCTAAATACACAGTTATGACAATTAGAGGGACGTGGGGGAGGGATCTGGCTGATGGAGCTCCTTAAGCAGGGGCCTGGCCACTTTCCAGCCTTGAGGGTTTACAAAGTATACAAAGTTTACACAGGGAGTCCACAGCAGGGATAGAAAACCTTCCCTGACGCTTAAATGGACAGCCAACTCATTTCGTATTAAACAATACAGAGGAGAATTATCAACTCTTTAAGGACAAGAAATATTTTAAAAATATCAGGGCTCATCAAGGTACTAGTAATTTGTCATAGTACACCTGCCAGTTTGTTGTGTTCTAGTTAAAGCAAACTAGTTTGTTGTTGTTGTTACTGAAATAAAATTATGAAAAGCAGCTTGGAGAGAAGATGGTTTATTTAGCTTACAGGTTGTAATCCATCATCAAGGGACGCCAAAGGCAACTTAGAGCAGAAACCAGAGTATGGGAACTAAAACAGAGCACAAAGGAGCACTGCTGACTAGCTTGTTTCCTCTGGTTTGCTGGGCTACCACATTTTCTTTATTCACTCAGCTGTTGATGAGGACTACCCTAGCTAGCTTAAATTGTCAACCTGACATAGCCTAGACTCATCTGAGACGAGAGACTGAATTGAGAAATTGCCTAGATCATACTGACCTGTGAACGTATCTGTCTTAGTCAGTGGTCTATTGCTATGAAAAGACCCCATGACCATGACAGGTCTTATAACGGAAAACATTTAATTGGGCCTAGCTTACAGTTTCAGAGGGTTAGCCCATTACTAGCATGGCAGAAAGCATAGTGGGAAACACAGCAGCATGTAAGCAAAGACATGGTGCTAGAGAACAAGTGGAGCATTTGAAACCCCAAAGCCCACCCCCAGTGACATACTTCCTCCAAGAAGGCCACACCCACTCCAACAAGGTCACACCTCCTAATTCTGTCAAGTAGCACCACTCCCTAACGACCAAGCATTCAAATATATGAGACTATGGAGGTCATCCCTATTCAAACTACCACATTACTTGTGGGGAAATTGTCTTGATTGTTGTTAATTGATATAAGTGCCCAGCCTACTGTGTGCAGTACCATTTCCTTCTCAGATGGTCCTGGGATTTACAAGAACTCTAGCTGAGCCTAAGGTCAGACATAAGCAATCAGGCAGCATTCCTCTGTGATTTCTGATGCAAATCACTTGGCTGAGGGTGAGCTCCTTGGCCAGGATTAATACTTCATGGAATAGCAAGCATGCCTGCCTTCAAGTTTGCATTTGAGTTCCTGCTTTGCCTTCCCTTGATGACAGACTGTGACCAGAAGTGTCAGCCAAATAAACACTTTCCTTCTCTTAAATTGCTTTTATCAGAGTATGTTATCACAGCAACAGAAATGAAACTGGAACAAAAATCTAGGCTGATCTTATAACGTGGTACTGCGGGTAGTACTACAATAGACATGGATAAAGCATGTTGGTTTGTTTTAAGAAGGCAGTAGATCCCATAGGTGACAACTTCTTTGGATTTTTAAAATGTGATAAAGGAATCCTCCTCCCACTTCAGAGGCTGGCCACGATGGGGCAGGTTAAAGAGAGAGCTATCTATTCTACCCAATAATGTGGGAAGAATAGAGAGATTCTGGAGGCAGCTATACCAACATACCAGGGGACCCCAGGATCATAAGAAAAAAGAGACGGGAGGAGAAAGAAAGGCTTACAAGCGCAGGGGGAAACTAGCATCCTAAGAACAAAGGGCTTGTTCCATTTCTATGACAAGAATAGGAAAAAAACCTGAGATTGGAGGCATCCATTCTCAGTGTGGAGTAAACCACTCTGCTGTCCTGCCCTGCCAACCCCAGGGCCCCACACACAGCCACGTGGGCTAATTTGTTGAGTAAAGCTTTGAGGAACTCCAGACAGGGAGTTCTAGTTTCTAAGGGCTGATACTATAAAACATGAAATGCCCACACAAAACCCAGCTCTCACCTCAAAGGAAATAAGAGTTTATTCTGGAGCCAAATATAAATGACTGTGACCCAGTAATATGGATTCAGGTTATTCTAAGTAGTGTGTTGAAACAGTTTCATGAAGTCTTTAGAATTATAGAATGAAAGAAAGTCATAAATCAAGGCACTTTAAAGGCATGCCAGTGAAACACTGGGCGTGTTAGTAACGGCAAAGTGAGGAAACTTTCGCCTAAGTCTATGATGCTATCTCATGACGTTCTTAGCCTTGAACTTGGAGGAAGCTAACGGTTTGTTAATTTATAGTTACTTTCCAGTCCAAAAGGACTTACCTTACAGTCACAGTACATTAAATAAGATGAGGAAGTAGACAGCGAATCATTATTAGGGAGATTAAAGGTAGCCCACAAGAATATGCAGGTATGCAATAGCTCTGCTCTCAACCACCATCATGGAAGCTCTAATCAGCCAACTGAATATTTTTTTTAAACTTCAGTTTATACAGGTTTGCTATCCCACTGAAGTCTGAGCTCAAGGTATTGGCATACTTGGGGCTTTCTGAAGGCTGCAAAGAGGACCTGCTGTGTGCCTCTCTCTTACTTTCTCCTGTTTGTGGTAATACCCGGTGTTTCCTGTCTGATAGAAGCTTTATCTACTCCCTGCCTTTATGTTCCTGTTCCAAGTGTTCAATCTCTGTTTGTAGAGAAATAAAGGACAAAAATCAAAATCATCAAGGTCTACACAGGCAGATGAAATGAACACATGACTGATCTGAGGTTGAGGGGAAGGTTTTATTGTAGATGTGAGGGAAAGCACAGCCAGAGGCATCTGGAAGAGTCCAAAGCAGGGAGAGAAAGTAGGAGACAGAATATGGTCAGCAGACTGAACCAGGCCGTGAGAGAAGATGGAGGGAGAGCAAGAGAGGAGAAGAAAGAGGACCAAGAGAGCACATGGCTGAAATGGCAGGGTCATTCATACAGGAATCAGAGCTGGGGGTGGTGGAGGTAAGGGACAAAGTCCCTGGGCTGGAGAGGTTTAGGGTAGGGAGTTGGCCCAGAAGAGCTGAGGAGCCAGGAGTCTGAAACAGAGACTTTACGGGCACTGCTGAGAGAAGCTAGAGGCCAGTATGGGCTTTCAAATGCTAATAGTCCCACAGTTAGCCATTTGTCCACAGTTCCTTTTGGACCTTTCAATAGATTCAACTCAGATGGAGTCCAAGCACTGAGAGTGGCTAAGTGGCCTCAGGCTCCCACCCCTAACTAAAAATCTATCTACAGTTGATAACTACTGGCAAAGAAAAAAATCAGTGTTCTCCAGTGGGTATATTAACCACTCTGCAGGGCGGGTTCTAAGCCAGGGAGTAGTTGGCCAACACAAAGGACCTCCCTTGTAATTTTGTAACCTTTTTGTCTCATTTGGCTTTGTTGGGGCATTGATTGTTTTGTTGGTCTTTTGCTTGTATATTTTTGTTTCCGGTTTTTGTGGGGATGTGTTTGTTTGTCTGTTTTCATTTGTTTGGCTTTTTTAAGAGAAAGAGAAAAAGAATATAAAGGTAGATGGGTAGGGAGGCAGGGAGGATCTAGGAGGAATTGTGGGACAAAAAAAAAGATCAAAACATATTGGGAAGGATTGGGAATTGTTCAATAAAATAAGGGGAGGGGAACCTAAAGGTCAAAAAATGAAATCAAAGTCCACTACTCTGACAATCAGACCCTAACTGCCTGGAGCCTGACCAGGCTTGGGATGTCTTATATAAATAACTACAGCCTAACTCCTAAAGACCCCTGGTGCCTCCTCCCAAATGGCTGGTCTTGGGAAAGATGAATGGTGTTATAAAATTTACTACCTCACAATCTAGTGCACTGCAACCTATGGTCTCTTCCAATGTAAGGCCACATAAACCCAAGGCAAGGTGAGATAACTTCTCTAAACTGCAATAAAAAGAGGGTCATTCCCATACAGGGTACACTTTATTCTCTCTCTCCTCTTCCCCCTATCCTCCCTCTCCCTCCCCACTCTTTCTCTCCTTCCCCTCCTTTCCTACCTTTCCCTCCATATTTCTGACCACAGTCTATATTCTTTATTAAAACATTAAAATCAGTCCTGGTCTGGTGAATGCTCTTACACATACACACATACACACAAACACACACACACACACACACACACACACTCACACACCATGTTCCATGATACAACATAGATTTGTTTTTTATAAGGACACCATTCATGCCAGTTTAGATCCCATCCTGATCAATTCATTTTAACTCAATTCCTTTTTAGAAGGTCCCCATGTCCAAGTACAAGCACACTCTGACAGTCTGCATGTGACACTTTCTCAGAGGCAGACTTTGGAATGCCTCTACAGAATCCTATTCTAGACAAGGCCATAAATACTCTGAGGTGCAGATAAATTCAAGGTGGGAGCCTGACATTATATTCATTGGCTCTCAGTGAAACTTTAAGGAGAACTTTGGAGCTTGAAAGAGAAACCAAAGATTTCTTCACTTGTGAGAAATTTTTAAAGCAGCTGCAGAAACCACCAGGGCCTAAAGGAGGAGACAGGCTTGCCAGGACTCAAGGTAAGATTTCTGAGAATTCCTTCACAGAGTCTTGACAGAACTTGGACCCTATTAAGTTAAGAGGGCTCCAAGACCTGGACAAGCTCTGGAAAGGTCTTTTGGGAGCTGCAGAGATCAGGAGTCCCCTATAGACAGTGCACTGAAGTATGGTGGGAGCTCACAACAACCCAACCCTGGAGACTCAGTCCCCTGGCAGGCAGCTGAAGTGTCAGAGCAGGTTCTTGGAGCTATTTCTCCATCTGCCTGAGCAGACTAGACACCCAGAACAGAAAGCTGGATATCCACTGTGGCGGCAGAGGAATGAGGGAGGAGTCTCAGGGAGTGACCACTCTCTGAGTCCATCTGGTAAATGCACTGTGGCCAGGTTTGTTTAGGACCTCAGCCAAGAATTGGTGGGAAGTACAACCTCCTTTGTTCCTATCAGATCCTCTGGAGCTCAGCCCAGGGCTCAGTTGCCTGTGTCAATCACCATGTCTGTAATGGTATTGCTCTTGAATAACAATGAACCTTCTATGAAACAAAGAGGGAAGACAGAGCTAACCCATTTTCCTATGGCATGGAAAAGAGAATAGCATTCAGTGTAGTATTTATTCTGAACGTGAAAATCAGACAGATCTTCCATCCAAGTCATCAAGATCTCAGTTCCAGGCTATAGTTCCATTAATAGAATGTCTGCCTAGAAAGCACAGAGCCCTAGGTTTGATACACACACCCTCAGATCCACATAAACAAGGCATGGTAGTGCATGACCATAATCCCAACACTTGGGAGGTGGAGGCAGGAGAATCCTTAGCTATGTAACAAGTTCAAAGATAGCCTGGGCTACATGAGACTGTCTCAAAAGTAAACCTTAGCTTCAGCATTTCCTGTATGACTATGCTCAGGTTGGCTAACCTCTCTGACCCTCGATGGTGATAGTACATGGCTGGAGGTGTTGCTTCATATCAGTAGGGCTGTGAGACATAATCTACAGTTGCTATAGTTGTTACTATCAGTCACCTCCCTGGAAAGCTTGGAGTTCTTCAGAGAAGGCAAAGGATGCTCAAAGAATAAGGAGAAGTGGCACATGCTGCTTGACACAGGATGTTCCTACAGCTGAACATTCATGGTTTGTGTCACCTGACAGGCACAGAATTCCTCTACAGAAGTTAAAACATAGTGACATGGAAATAAGCCTGGGTTCCAAGCCCACTCCTGTGAGCTGTGTAGTGAGTCATTCCCCCCTCAGAGCCATGGTCCCCATGAGGCTTAGTGGAGACATAGGGGATATGGAAATGGGGGAGACACCATGGGGAATTCCTTGGTTGTCAGGTGTCAGACCTCTTGTTCTTTTTTAAATTGGGTGCTGAGGATTGGATCCAGGCTTTCTCATGCACTGAGCTCTGCCACTAAACTGTATTTCCAGGTCTTCTTAGTTTTATATCATTTTAGTTTTGAGACAACGTTTTATTAAGTGGCCCAAGTCATCTTGACATTACTCTGTAATATAAGTCTTGAATTTGCAATCCTCCTACCTCAGACTCCTGAGGAGCTAGTATCACGGGCCTGTGCAGCCCTGACTTGACAGGTGTTTTGTTGCTGTTGTTTTCTTGGTTTAGCTTCAAGACAAGTTCTCATGCATCCCAGGTTGGCCCAAATATCACTGTGTAGCAGAGGATGACCTTGAACTTCTGAACCTCCTGATTTCCCCTCCCTAAGCACGTGCTACCACACCCAGTTTTTTTTGTTCGGGATAGAACCCAGGATTTCATACACACGAGGCAAGCATTCTGCCCTCCAAGCTACACCCACAGTCCTGCCAGGTGTTTTTCTTACAGACAAGGAAAATGCAAAAGGCCTCAGAAATCAGCTTGGACTTAAAAGAAGGAAACTCTGGGTTTGTTCTGAAGCTCTATGTTTTTAACTGTTTGGATTCAGGGAGAATGAAGTAATGCCACCAAGTAAAAGGCGGGCAGGGAGTCTTTCTGTGCTACTGGGGTCTCAGACATTGCCAGCTCTGATTCCTCTAATAGACACTTTAGAAGACAAACAGTGAATCTGGAGAGTGAACTGAGGTTTTTACCAAGTAATTACCTGCATTGCTGACCTAGAGACCACATTTTAAGATCCACTTGACTTAATATTGGAAATAAAATAGCTCAGAGTCTGAGGGATGGTAGGGTTCACCTGCTAATATTCACTTCTGTTTACTGCTTTTGCACATAAATTGTAGATCCTTGCTGGCAGGATCTAAGCTAATAAAAGCTGAGCTAAGAGTGCCACCCTGTGCTGAAAGTGAGGCCCCAAGGAAGGACTTGGGGGCTTGTTGGAAGGACATGTCTATACCTACATTTCATACCCTTACACCTGCAGGTCATAAAAGCAGAAACTGTGAAACAGACCCAGAGCTGTCTGACCTCTGGACCCTGATGCTGTCTTGCCTGTGGCTTTCTTATCTGGGTGATCAGTAGTGAATGGTGCCAGTCCAGCAGCCTGCCAGCACTGAGTCACGTTAATATCAGCCTTTGGGGGTATTTTCCTCACTCTGGCACCTGCTGGCACCATAGAGCACTAGCATGGGTTTACTTTGTATTTGTCATCTAGAGAGGCCAGAAAGCTTCCTGCTTGCATCATGCTAGAATCCAGTTCACATTATTTTTGTGTCAAAGCATTTGATGCTCTGTAATCAAGGATCTACAATTTATGTGCAAAAGCAGTAAACAGAAGTAAATATTGACACGTGAGGTTTTTTTCCTCATCTGAATGGGAAATATTTCTACATATGTCTTTAATGTTCTAAGGAGACTGGCTGCCTCCTCTCAGGCATCCTTCCTCATCAGCATAGGAAAAATAAGACATCCTCCAGATCTACCTAATCAGAAGTCATGTCGGGACCACAGTCACATTATTCTCTTCCAGCAGCCTCAGACACCTAAGACGGAAACACAGGCCATCCTCAGAGCTCCCTAGTACCCTAATAGCAGCTGAAATATAGATGAACAGAACCTAACACTGTGTTCTCGTGGTTCAATTCCCAGCACCCATGTGGCAGCTCACAACCATCTGTAACTCCTGTTCCAGGGAATCTGATGCCCTAGCTTCTTCAGACACTAGGCACACATATGGTTCACAGACATAAATGAAGGTGAAACACCCATACACATAAAACATTAAATTAAATACATTTTAAGATACATGGTCTTTTGAGAAGTCCCAGCTCGTTTGAATATTGCATCCTCAGAAAGAACACGGACCCCAAGGAAACAAAGACCTATCTTAAGTAGTAGGCTTGCATTTCAGTGAAGACATTGACAGACATAAGGAGTAAGAGGGATTGTTGGGTTTTGGTGGAAATTGTATCTTGTGTGATTTGTAACAGCTGTGCATCATGAGCAATCAAGAGAATGTGTCTGCTGTCACTGTCCCGAGTAATGTCCGTGTCATCCAGCCTACATATGCTGTGGTCTCTGGAAGACAGGAACAGCCTTTGGCAAAGACCACCACCTACCCAGCCTCAGCAACAGTGCTCCAGTATAACTCAGAGAATGCAAACTTCCAGAACCCACATATTGTGATCCAGAATCCAGCTGCAATGACAGGCCTGCAGGCTAGGTCCACTGGACTACAGTATCCAGCAGGAATGGCTGGTGTGCAGACTCCCCCAGGAGTAATCCAGTACTCACCAGAAACAACAAGTGTCCAGATCCTGCCTGGAGACCCTCAGAGTCTCCTAAATACTGTCCCCGGGCCAACACAGACCTCAAGCCATCCCCAGTGGAACATGTCTTTTATGTCCTTTCATGAATTTAATCCCAAGAAATTCATAAATGAAGAGGTCAGAACATTAGGGGTGAGTATGGCATCATCTCTCCAGCTTCTTAAGTCCATTCCTTCATGGACTATGTAAGTTCATGCCTTCGATGGGGTCAGAGGGCAAAGGAGGTCACAGATTCTAATGGCAATCCCTCTCTGTATTCCTCAGCTCCCCAGTTCATTCCATGGGTTTTAGAGGAAGCTATAAAATTCACCAGCCATCCCTTTCCTAGCTATCAGGGACAAGGGTCAATGGCAATCTCACTAGAAAAACCATTGACTCAGGCAAGTGGCCTGGGCTTCCTAGAACCTCAGTCGCTGCCTCTCATAAGATCTAGTAAGCTCTTCTATATCCTAATGCCTCTGAGGTTGCTGATTTCCTCCTCCACCAAGGATGGTCCTGTCTCTTTTCTGAAACCTCTAATTTCATCTGGCACCTTGAAAAGCTCAACTCCATTCTATTTTTTTTTGAGGCAGAAACAAGATCGGTCCTATGCTCTGCTAGATGCCAGCCAAGTCCTCGTAAAATGACTGGCTGGAAGGATAACTGGATCATAGCAAGCTCTTTGTCTCAGTACACTCCCTCACTCAGCATTGAGCACAAATCCAGAGGTGACCAAGACATAGTTCTCAAAAACCTGGTAGGGGTGGGAATTTACTTCATAGCAGCTATTGTAACTGTATCTTCTGGCAATTACCATGAGACATATACACAGCTTTGGTGCTCAAAGTGTGCAAAAGGCTCTGCTTCCTTTGAGAGGTTGCAACCCTCCTAGAGGACAAAAGAAGGTTCAGGAAGGAAACAGACTCATCAAAACCCTACTATAGTAGGGATATGGCTATTTTATGCCCTACAAGACTTCATGTGTCAGAAGCTTTGCCTCCACTAGGTACTATTGGGAGGTTGGGAGGCGCCAGAGAGCCTTTAAGGGGTAGGTCTTAGCTTGAGGTATTCAGGCCATTGGGTATAGTCCTTGTGGAACCTCTTAATAGTTCTCACAGGAGCAAGACTGGCCTCCCTTAGCCCTCTGGCTTTCAGTCTCACTATATAATCTCTCCCTCTTGCATGCACTCCACAATGATACTATTTTCCATGCAATGACAAAGCTAAAGGAGCCCTCATCAGAGCAAGCCTAAACTGACAGTCCCAAAACTGTGAGCTGAATAGACTCTCTTTTTCTTATCCAAATTACCCATCATTTGGTATTTCATCATAGCAACTATAAATGGGCTCACTTCTTTTCTATGTTTGTATCCCAAATTTATCAGAGCCACCTCTTAAAGTCTGTAAAACTGTATCAGAAATCCAGATGCTGATCCCAAACACCAAGGAAGACTATATGTGGGAAGGTAAACAATGGTTATGTTGCATAGGCATTGTAATCCTGTATTATGCTTTTCATCCTGTTAATTGATACAGGCGAAGTGACTGTGAATTCGGTGACCAACAATTCAAAAGCATGTGGAGACCCAAATTAACAAAGAAAACTGTTCTGAATAATCTTACCCTTTTCATTACTCAGGCCACCCATTGGTGTCACCTGTGGGGCTTTAAAGCACACCTGGAATAGACCTCACCCAGAGATGGTGGTCTAGTCTAAATGTTGACCCCAATCCCACTCATACCTCAAGTGACTCTGGAGCACAGCCAAGGTGACAAAAGAGCAGCTCAGCAGCCCACAGCCTCACTTTCTCTCTCACCAGATTTCTCTCTGCTCTCCCCACAGGCCATCCAGATCCTCATTGGCCTATTTCATATCTTCTCTGCAGTCAATCCTCAACTCTACAGGAGTTCTCTTTTGCTGGGGTTATCAGGGTACCTGATCTGGGGAGGTCTGTCTGTGAGTACAAGGCCATGCGGCCTCCTTTCTAAGTCATTTGAGGGGAACTGGGGAGGAGAAGCGATGAGAAGACCCTTGGATCCCACTCCCAGGCATAGAACCCTTATAGCTTAGAAGTCTGCAGATGCTGCTGAGAGTTGAGGAACTCACCTACACCCCTGCCCTGACAACACCACCTCCTGACTATAAGGAGCTTTTGGCTACAAATATTTGTTACCATCTTATTACCAGAGCTTTTAGGGTCAGAGCTTGGACTCTGCAGCACTCACAAGCCAGGCTCTGCCACCCACCCTTAATAGGCCTACTGTAGAGATGGGTCAAAGCAAAAAAGAAAACAAAATAAAAGGGAAGGGGAGGGGAGGGGAGGGG